AGACCTGCTTTCTCCTTTGTATGAGGATACCAATTTGATCTAGCAAATAATTGGGTAACATCATGTGAGTTTTAGTGACCCATTCATCGAATTCTCTGCTTCCTGGATCAAGATCGTTCAAAGGACTTGCTTTTCGATGACGCATTTTCCATTCCTGTTCAACCACTTTGATAGAATCTCTGGTATAAGTTTGGTATAATTAAGCTTTTTCAGGAGAAATAATTGAAAAGATTTGCAGTGGAGTTAACATTGTTGAAATTTTTGTATCGTTTGATTTTGAGAGATTGAATAAAAATAGTGAATAGATCTAGTTTGACCTACCACTTTTAGTTTTTATTGCTGGTGGTCTAAGGTTTATCCAATTACCATAAATCTGGGTTTGTAAAATTTCAATATGTTTTCAGGGCTTATGTAATTAAAGTAGAAAAGTGCACGCTTTGAAAACCTATACTTCAAAGAAAGAGCATGGCGCTTTTTCTATGATACCCTTAGCACAAAATGACAAATATTTTACACTTCAAATAGATAACATGCATGCCGCCAGGGTAGAAACGTTAAAATTTATGAGCTAAAACGGGAATTTGCCAGACAGATTTGATGTGTATCTCTAAAACTCACAAATTTCCAACTGCAAACAAATTAAAAGTCACCAATGAAGCTTAAGGAAAACTGTAAAAGAAATTGACCGAGTTAGGCTTTTCAGCAGCTGGGTGAATTATTCATAAATTGTCTCTTGAGTGATACGGTTGATGAAAATTACTGCTACCCAACTATGTACACGCTTGAAAGTGATACTGACTTTTTTGATGATTTTCGTGATATTTATTCAGGAGAAAAACGTAAAGTCAGAGTTGGAACAAAATCATTTGAAAAAACAGGTACCTATATTACACTTAAATTGTATAACAAAACTGATGAAGAGGTGTTCAAAACGTATCAAGCAGTTACTTTGATGACGAAAGAATTTGATTGTTTAGCAGATAATTATTCAAAAGTAGAAAAAAAAGATCAAAGCACCAACTGGTAAAAAGATTTCAATTTCACAACAGGAAACAATAAACCTCAAAAACAAAGATGCAAATCAAAACAATCGGTTTTCTCCGAATAAGACTGTAACAGTGAAAACGGAGACGATAAAGAAGAAGATTATTCTAACAAAAAATGTCGAGTGGCAGTTTTTTTTTATTAATCATCAGAATGGTTGAAGCAATGTACAAACAATCGCTGGAATACTTTAAACAATTTCGGGAAAACTTTAAAAAAAAAATTCTGAACAATGAACCCGACGTCTCTGACCGTCCTTCTAATACAAACTTATCATTTGCAGTCCATTCAAATCAGAACAATTTTTGTTCCCAATCTCTTGTCAATGGCCAGCCACCTTACCACGTTCTTATGAAAGTTACAAAGAAATGCATTGAAACAGTTAACAAGATGACCTTAAAACCTTTTATTGTGCCTTGCCTCCTTTTCTCCTTTAAATATTTGATTATGGGGTGCAGCAAATATCGTCTATCAGGACCACTGATGGAAAAAATAAAAGTGGCTGTTAACAACAATTCGACTAACAACTTTGACACCACCGGAGTTTCTTTGCGAAAACAATTCCCCCAGATTTGCTTTGCATCACAGACTCGATCCATTCAAACTCAAACTGATCTAATTACTAATGTAACGATTGAACGTTTTATTCGAATATTGAATGGGGATAATGCTGCTCAATTTTCAAAAGTCATTGATATTATTTTGAGTAGGTATGTTCGTTTAGAGATTAATTTAAATACTTTGTTTGTTAAGTTTATAATGGAAAAGAAATTCAATTTCTGCATAATGTTTGTGAAGCCTGAGATAGTTCCAGCGGTATGTGTTCTAGCAACCATAAAACATGTTTTTCAAAAAAATCATGTAGAAATCATTAAAGAATTGCATAAATATCACAAAGTAATAACATCATATGCTTAGCAGAACGCATCATGGTCGTTAACCTTGAAACCTATAGGAAATTTAGATGAAATTCTAACATGAGCAGCATAAATACAATAAAGTCCGCATAAGACCGAGTTAGCTCATTGGATTGGCTTATTCATCAGTATTTGGTTTCCCTCATGGATAGAACGTCTCATTTTTTCAAAACATATATAGATACTTGTGTAGGCTTCGCCAAAAGATCTGCAAAACAAAAGATTTGACCACCAGCTTGAGCAAACAATAACCAATGAGGTCCTGGCTGGTCTGAGTTTGATGCGTTTACTATCATGAAAGTTTTGTCGCGTTTCAAAATTGTATTGAAAGCTAAGTTAGCTGAAAAAATGGCGCGAAAATTTTGTTTCAAAGTCTTGCATCGGTTAGTAAACTCAATAACCTGCAAATTGTCCATTTTTTCCCTATTCAAAACATTGTTTTTGGCTATTTTTCTATCGGAACGCAAGTAAACTCTTGATGCACGCTCTCCCGTGAAATGCACTTCTACATTTTCCCCTAGCGGTGCATCAAACTTCAGTTCTACTGAAATGGTGCAATTCGTCAATTCAGGATGGATAAAGTCATGTAAAGCCTCATGAGAAGAAGTGAGATCAATTACCATAATACAATGATTGTATAATTAGCCAAACTGATTCTATGACTTTTGTTAAAAACAAAGTTAAGAGCTTCCAATGTGTTATAGTATATCAGTCATTGACACAGGAAATTCTGTAATGGGTAAGCCGTTTTGGTAAACAATGATTTCATTCAGATGAATCTTTTGATAACGAAACGGGTTTTTTCGCTTAGTACCCAGCTATGCTGTATTCAAATGCATTGCCAAAATCATTCGAGAAACTGGCTCTTTGGTAAAAACGTCTTCTTGTCGCGAGCTTTGCACACCAGTTGTGGCCAGAAAAGTTCTTGGTAAAACTTCAATATAATTGTATATTGCGGGTGTTTTCAACAGAGTTTTTTCTATCGATGATAGTACAAAATCTGTTACTGTCATTTTGCGCACATAAAAGTTAGCCTCAGTGATTTGGACTTGGTAATGTTTATAAGGTTGCTCAGACATAATAACAAAGTTTTAGGAGATCATCTCAGAGAAAGTCTTATTGTATCACCGCTGATAAGATGTTTGTCACAAGATAAAAAATCACAGGCAATTTTACCAAATAAAAGGAAATTGCTTGATGCTGCTACGATTTGCTTATGTTTCCTCGACATCTTCAGCTCGCCCCCTATTAGCAACAACATTACCCGATGAGTTATCGTCATAATAATAGCCTTGACAAGCAAGCCATGTGCCTTTGCATCATTTCCGTGTAAAAATTCGGTCTCAATGAAACACTTATGGGCAAAATTGGCATTAGTTGTTGAAATTTTTTCTCCATTCAGGGACATTGTGCATTCGAAAATATAGATGAAAGTGGACTATTAACCAAAATGGGGTGTCTCGTAGCGCTGCCTCCGTAGCATGAGGTCGCAGTACATTAACATTATTTTGAACAATGCGTGCTACAATCTCCGAGGGAGTTCGTTGAAGATCGATAAAGTTGTTTCTGTCTATTAAAACTTCAAATTTGAGCATGGGACCATCAAATGAATAATGGTACAACCTCCGCCTCCCGCAAACGGTA